AATAAACCCGAGGGGTTACTCCTACTGACTGGGCATCGATAGAATCCGGAGGGGCATTCGGTGTAATAGACCGGGGGGCATAGATGTAGAGCCCATGGGGCATTCGAAGCATGACCCCGAGTGAGGGCCTTCGATACATCTACCGGCAGTAGTCTATTGGTATAGATGTGCACATGAGTCTGAACACTGTGAATTTATGTTGAAAACTTGGGATACTTAATTGATTCTTATACATGCTGTGATTATACTAGTTCTTTTACTGTTTATGTTATGAAAATGTTTATTACATAATGGTGAGCACTATGATTACCAACTGTGCTCATCCTCACCTGAAATTAACGTTCAGGTTAAGCAAGGCGGGTACGACGTCGGAGTAGAGCGAGTGGTAGTCGGTCTATGAGACCGGTTATTAATTGATTTTGCTTCCGCTATACTTATGATTATTTATGATTTATGAATTTTTTGAACTCTGAGAATTTATGAAGTATTGAGATACTATTGGGGACATGCCCCGTTGACATTGTTATGTCTAACTTGAGTTTTGTTTGGGGAACCCGGTTTGGGCAAATTGATGATTTATGGATTTATGAATCCCGTTTTGGGAGTTAGATGATTTATGTTATGAAATTGATGTTATGCCGTTGAAGTAGTTTGAAATATATGAGTAACGCCACAAACGTTTGAAACAGATTTTAAAAAATTTATTCTGATTTTTTTGAAAGTCCAGAATTTATTTAAAATCAAAGTGGGGCGTACAATTTGGTATTATAGCTAGTCTGCGTTTCTGTAGATTGGTATACGTGAATTATGAGAACTCTATGAAATACATGCATAAAATGATGAAGTATATGACCACTCGCTTCCGTCGTGCCGCGCCAACTCAAGTATGAATACTTGAGTAATATTAAATTGCTTATGTGAAGTATTTTGATATTATGAGATGTAAACCGGGGCTTAGGAAATTATCCTCCTACTTTTAAACATTCTGGAACTCTAGATGAGTGGCGAACCTTAGTTGTATGAACTTGAACTCTAGCGATATAGAGTTAAGTTCTAACTTGAGGTTTTGTTTGTTTAGAAATTCGATATGATGTTATCGAGCTGAGTTCTGTATATAACAGTCCTCTCGATGTATTTTTGGTGTCTTCAGATGAGGACCATTCGCGAACCATCTCGAAAGGAGAAGGCTTAAACGAAAGGAGCAGACAACCGAAGAAGTCCCAAGTGTGGGATATTCGCAGGTCTGTAACCATGGTTATTAAGACCATTAGATGTGTATTTGACCCCAGTCAAGTGCGAGCTGGAGTAGAGTCTGAGTGCCTTGTCCCCGCTATTGTTCGACCAGGATGAGTGGTAGGAGAACTTAAAACGTAACACCGTCGCAACTCTCAAGAGTGGCTAAGCCTCGAGAAAGGCGGTAGTGACCTATCCTTTTGTGAAAAATTCTCAAACGAAGGAATACGACCTTGTTCTTAAGGCGGATAGACCGATCCGACACTGCGTGAATATCTTATGCCGCAATTTCAAGTGACATTTTTGTCTTGAAAGAGACATCAAAATTCTTTTCCGTATTTTGCGCCGCGAGCGATTTCCCAGCGACAGCGGGACTTACCGAAAACAACAGGAATTGATGGTGAAGGCAGTAAATTGTGGACTTGGGGAAGCGAAGCCGTCTTGTTCCTTCTTAAGCTTTTGCCTTCTTGTAGGCTTTTGCAAACCGTATTGTATTCCCTTTTCGCCTGGCAGACCAATGTTGATTGTGCTTGAGACTTCTTTTGCGTTATGCCATTTCCATACTTGAAACTTTCGCTTGCCTTTTCTTTCCTTACGTAAGAAGAAGATCGGATGGAGGTAAGCATCCTATTTTTCTATAACTCTGAGTCAACCTCTGCGAGTCTAAGAACCTTGTTTAGAATCGCCTTGTAAGCAAGTTTAAAGTTGTTTTGAGACCTTTGTCTGTTATCCAATTTTTGCGATTTCATTAGATTTTCCCTCCCTGGCATAGAATTCCAGATGGGATTTAGGCTCGACATTTTTATTTTTTTATTGACCCTTATCTTTTGACGTTTGTTTCGTGACACCTCTAACTGGAGCAATAGACACCGGAAGTTGCGATCAACCTAATTCTTTTCTTGTTTTATTTGGGGTATGTTCAAACCCCTACCTTGGTTTCACTGTGTAAGCATTTTCAAGCTCTCCAACTTTAAATTTCGTTTTCTCTTGAAGTTTAGCCAATTCTTATTTATCCTAAGTCTGGTATTAACCTTGTTTTTGAAAGACCCGATTGAAAATAAGATTAAGCACCTTTTTGTTTCTGCTCTTCTTCATTCGTTTGCAAAGTATGAGAGTTTCGTTCGAATGCCATTGCTAAAATATCACGAAGACTCGACGACAAAAATTTTTCTATCGCCACTTTTGTAAATAACCCAACCTCGAGGGGAACAATAATTATTCACGCACGACATCGAGATAAACGCACAGGAGCTGAAGCCAGCACAATTCGGTTCGATAAGAACATGGAGTGTTTTTGCTACCTTAAAAGATTATACAGAAGTCTTTTAAGAAGGATAGTCGAGTCAGAAGCAAGCACATCGTGTAGTGGAGAACCGTCTTTATTCTAAATTTTGTTCATCGTAGAATTTTTTGTTCTTTTACTCCTTTCAGAATCCTGGGAGGAACTTCGCATTCAAATTCCAAAGTGTGAAGATTGGGAAACGAGTCGCGCTCGATCAGGACTATTGGCACGATTAGCTACATGGGTAAGAGCTGACGTGACAGCCGACACTGTTTGTCGGAAGAGTCGAGATGAGCTAGTTGTTGTAATTTCGGGCAGGAGCTATTGATTGGGATTACTCCCGACGGGAAAACCATATTCGAATTCTTTTGAGGATTCTCGTGTATCGCAAGCGTGTGATCTTTTCATGTGTTATAGTGTGTTTTGGGTAAAATAGTGGACTGGGAACCTTGAACCGAGCGCCGTCCCTGGCTGGGTGTAGCCACGCGAAGTGGTAGCCGAGCACGCACGACCGTGCTGAGAGACGTGAGACTTGTGTATGGCCGATCGTTGACTCGCATGCGAACTGCAGCTACGATCACCGTATGCATGAACTCCCCAAGCCAGCGTATACGGCCAATCACCAATTCTTTTCTTGAACTGTTGGAAACGTTTCATACTAGACCATTTGGTTGGCCTATCCAAACCTTTTTCTTGCAAACCTTGAACCGAGAACTTCAAGTCCCACTAAAATGTGTATAAATCCTTAATCGATGATTTCTTATTAAGGAGTGTAGTCGATGAGTCCCTATGCTTTACTTGAGAGTTTCTCGAGTCGGTAAATTGAGAATGCCGTGTTGCTTTGGGTCAAGCCTTGTATTTGTGCATAAGGGTTGCGTTCAACTCGTGGAGTCGATATCATAAGAGAATGAGCATGATGGTGTAGTGTTGTATGTAGGTGGTACCGTGTTGTGGTTTCTGATGGAGATGCACGGTCTGTGATGAAATCGTGAGCATGTTATCAGTGTGACTCAGATACGAGACTGAAACTTGGCGTCACGTGTCCACCTTGATGGTGAGGTAGTCGGAGTACGCTGACAATGCACCGGACGACCTGTTGAGGTCTTGTGTGCTGTTATGGACGAAGCAAATCGTTGATACTCATGAGTATAGGCTAAACTGAACGGGGTCCCTTGCAAGAAGGTATGAACGACTTGTTGAGGTCTTGTGTGCTGTTAGGTACGAAGCAAATCGTTGATACTCATGAGTATAGGCTAAACTGAACTGGGTCCCTTGCAAGAAGATGTACACCTGAGCTCGGGTAGGACTGATCACCCTCCCAAGCCAGAAGGTAAGCATATGAGCATAGGACGAGTCGGATTGGTTCCTGTATGTGAGTACATGCCTTTCGAGTATAAGGCGATAAGACTCATGGGAACGGAATCGAGTTCCGGAGAGTGATGCCCAGACCTCGTGATTGGAAATTCCTGTTTGAGTCTGTCATTATCTTAGATGCGTGTTCTTTCGCATTTCCGAGGACGGAAATATTTGAAGGAGGATAGATTGTAGCGCCCCGTTCGATTTATAGAATTTCTCGGAATATTCTATTTATCGAATATTATTTACACGTTATATTTATTTTATTGGTCGCGATGTCGACTTAAATAAAAGATTGGAATACTCGATTGTTTTGTTGAAAAACATTTGTCGTTCGGCAATTTCGGTTTAATCGCGCGAACCGATTATAATCCGTTTGAATAATGGGGTTTTCGGATATTTAGACATTATTAATATTGTTATTCTTATTTTATTTTTCCGAGCGTTATATATGTTTGGATTTTATGAAATTGATTAGTCGAAACTGGCCGATTCGTAAACCCGTTTATTTATGAATAATTTTGGGATTATTATTATTATTAATATTATATTATAATTATTATTATTATTATTATTATTATTGAATGTCTAAATATTATTTATTTGTCAAATTATAATTAAATGTCTAAATGTTACTATTATTTAATTAATTAAATTGTGTGTATTATATATATAAATAATATCCGATTTATTTAATCTACGTGCGATTGAATTGAGCCCGAGAAAACCGAAACCTGAACCGTTGGGCGAACTGGCCCGTAAGCTCGACGCGAACGGCTGGCAGTTTTTCCCCAACCCGTTTGTGCGTGGGTGTGTATTATCTTGGATAACAAGATTACAAAACCTAATTATACATATTTTGTATCTCTATATCACTCGGCCAAATCAGAGACCCGCAGCCTTAATCTCGTCTTTCTTTCATACTCGCAATCCCGCTGCTCTCTCTCTCTCTCTCGCTATCTTCTGCGCGCGACCAGAAGAGAGAAATATCTTTTTCATCATATAACCCTCACCTCATCTCTATACTCATCATCCTCGCCCTTTCCCCCTCACGTCAGAAACTGAACGCCAGCAAACCGTGAGTCGCTGCCTCTTCCCGCGACACTGCACCCTCGCGAATTCCTCCAGCATGTTCATCTTCCCCGTTCGCGCAGCAGCCAATCGCCATCATCTCCCTCTACAAAATTCCCGTCGCCACGCCTACAACACCTCCAGCGATTCTCGACCCCGCACAACAACTCCACAACCTTCTCTCCTTTCTGCGAACAACGGCGCAACGAAGCTCTTCCCGGCGAGCATCTTTCCCGGCGAGCTCTCCTGACCGCGACCAGCCTCCTCCGGCAAGCCCAGTGATCCTTCGCCGTGACCTAGGAGCCAAGGCGAGCATTCCGCCGCTGGTTTCTCCGACCCACTGCAACCACGCGAACCAGGTCGCCACCGTCGCCTACCTTCGTTTTTCCGGCAGCCGCTGCAAACACCGCGAGTGGGATTCTGCCCAGCTGCTCGCGTGCCATCACTCCCAGCCGCGGGAACAACACAGCATCACCGTGTCAGGCCGCTGCTGCCTCTCGAGCCTGATCGCCGGCGACATCTGTGAACGCCCATCCGCCAGCCACCCTTTTTTTGTTGCGAGCAGGCCACCTCAGCGGGAAAACTTCAGCCCTCATCCCCGCTCGTAGCCACCGCCGAGTTCCAATTGTCGGCAACCCCTAGCCGCTGCCACGCTTAGCCGCGAGGAAACCCGACCCATTCATATGTTCGAGAACGAACCGAGGCCGAGCGTGAGCCGCCTGAGGTTCGTTATTTTAGTTTCCGAGCCCGTCAACCCTCGTCCGATCCATTTTTCGAGCGTATTCCCAAGAATGGTATCGAGGCTTGATCCCTCTCTCGTTTAAATTCATTTTATGCGTTAATGTGATCCGTTATATATGTGATTTTTACATATGTGAATTTTATGTTAATTAAATGATGTATTGATTTCTTCGGTTCATGCGAACTCGAACAAGATCATGTTATACACGTGTTAAGTCACTGTGGGAATGGAACAATGAGTTTTTGGCCTTATGGTGAAGACCTCGGATCCTTTCGAGTTTTGTCGAGTCGTTTATAACTTGTTGATCTCGTAAATTGCTGTTTTCGCGTTTAATTCATTAAAAATCGTATGTTGCTCCGATTGCGATGAAATTTTGGGTGTAATTGCCTCTGTTGATTATGAAGCTCGTGTAAAAATTTCATAATTTTATTTGGTCTGTAGCTATTTTAATTAATTAAAATGATATCTAGGCAGAGCCGTGTGAATTGCATAATAAATGAATTCGTCCTTCAACCTTGCTGAAATTCGTGTATGTTGTGTCTCTAGCATATTTACTTGTTGTGTAAAATTTTCAGAATTAATGGACTCAGCTTGCTAAGGGAAATAATTTATTTTGTGATTCTGCCAAAAATTGTTTTAATTATAATAAACTGATTTGATGCTGTAAAATTCTAATTTTTGGATGAAGTGCTTGTTCTGTGATGTGTTTCATGCTGTAAAAATATCGGAATTTTTGGAGATCATTTTTGGTTCGGTTTCATTGAAACAATGAAATCTGCTGAATGTTGTTATAAATTTACTAATTCGCATGTTAAGTTTTTAAAGCTGAGATTTTTACGTGCTGTTGTTCACAAGATGAGGTTCCTTGGATAAAAATTTCATAGACTAGTTCGTTCAATAGGTCTGGTTGTTAATTTATGTTCGTTTTTGCGGTAAAATTGTTGGAATTTTATAAAATTATGTGTTTTGAGTTAAGGAATGAAATTGGTGGTTTTGGTAAGTCCATTGAGGTGGGTTTTTGGTTACAATTTCAAAGTCTAACTCATTCGGTAGCTTGACGAACTTGATTATGTGAATTACCTGCTTTATTTCGAAAATATAGCTTTTGAGTTAAAAACTGTAAACCGAATCGCATGCTAATCTTTGTCTGTTTGACTTGGTAAATCTTTGATTGAGATTGTGTGAACTCTCATGCATGTTGGTTGAGTCTTTGAGCCGAGTCTAAGTGTTCCATTGTCCACAGGACTTCACGAACAACTTAGTCGAATCAAGTTCGACTAAGTATGATTGTGTTTTCCTTTTTAGGTCAAGATAGATGTTTATTGTAGCATCTTGACTTAATGTAGGTGTTTGACGAGCTGAGCTCGCCGCCTATACGTGCTTCTGTTTTATCTCATTCTCTCGACCAGGTGGGTTTTATTAAAATTTGTCTATGCGATAAATTGTTTGCCTTACTTGTATATGATCAATGTGTGCCTACGAATCATGTAGCCTTTGATGTGAGTTGTATCGGCCATCGAACGGTTGTCCCGTGTTTACGAAATAAAACTTCCTACTGACTGGGCATCGATAGAAGCACGAGGGGCATTCGGTGTGTAAGACCGGGGGGGCATAGATGTAGAGCCCATGGGGCATTCGAAGCATGACCCGAGTGAGGGCCTTTGATACATCTACCGGCAGTAGTCTATTGGTATAGATGTGAACATGAGTCTGAACGCTGTTCATTTATGTTGAAAACTTGGGATACTTAATTTCTTCTTATACATGCTGTGATCATACTATTTCTTTCACTGTTTATGTTATGAAAATGTTTATTGCATAGTGGTGAGCACTACGATTTCCAATTGTGCTCATCCCCACCTGAAATTAACGTTTCAAGTTAAGCAAGGCGGGTACGGCGGCGGAGTAGAGCGAGTGGTAGTCGGTCTATGAGACCGGTTATTAATTGATTTTGCTTCCGCTATACTTATGTTTATTTATGATTTATGAATTTTCGAACTCTGAGAATTTATGAAGTACTGAGATACTATTGGGGAGATGCCCCATTGACATTGTTATGTCTTGCAACTTGAGTTTTGTTTGGGGAACCCGATTTGGGTAAATTGATGATTTATGGATTTATGAATCCCGTTTTGGGAGTTAGATAATTTATGTTATGAAATTGATGTTATGTCGTTGAAGTAATTTGAAATATATGAGTAACGCCACAAATGTTTGAAATAAATTTTGAAAAATTTATTCTGATTTTTCTGAAGTCCAAAATTTCTTTAAAATCAAAGTGGGGGCATTACAGCTCACTCCCATGACTCCCCCCTTTCAGGTTGAGCAGGTGGCAGGCATGGCGACGAGGAGACGAGTGGCCGGTCTGCATTTATGACTTATTTATGCTTTTGCTTTCATGTGGATTATGTTGAACTTGTTCTATTTTTTAAATAATGACGTTTTGGAAATTGTGGATTATGTTTTGGCATAATGGATTGTTTTTGAAAACCCAATGAGTTGGTTTATTTGCATACTATGAAACGTGATGAATTGGTTTATTATGTTGCAATGCCTTTGATGTGATGAGATAATGAAATCCTTTTAAAAACTGGGTAATGAATTCCGATAGTTTAGACACGACTTGAACTATTTTATGAAAAGAGTGAGTAACGTCGAAAATGTTTTAAAATCGAAAAATGAGTTTCGAAAATTTAACTATGATTTTCGTAAAAGCCATCAATTTTCTTTAAATATCAACATGGGGTCACAATTACTATTCTATTTCTTGGGACTCTGTAGGAAAATGAATTAGCAGAATGCCTATTTTATATTAAGAGATTATGCTCCAATTTCGAATGTCGCACTAGCCATTTTCCAAACCCTTAATCGAGCCTTGATTTCGATTATAATTAATTAAATTAATTAAATAAAAAATTGTATTATACATTATATTTATGTTACACATTTTTCATGTAGATTTCAAGGAGTCGAGTTCGTGAGACGAGCATCGACCACTCATTCATCATTTGCATTTTGAGGTGAGGATTTCTGTACAGTGTGTTTATTTATGTTAATCACATGGTATTATTGTTGTAATGTGTTATGTGAGGATATCTATACTACGTGTCAATCGCATGATATGAGACTTTTAATATGAATTGATATTGTTGAGATTGTTGATATTTTTTAGACTGTTGATATTGTTGAGACTGCTAATATTGTTGAGAATACTCACTATTAAGATTATTGAGATTATTTAATTTCGGCTTTTGGGTATTGGTTCCACATTGATTCCATATTGATTCCGTAATGATTCTGTATTGATTCTGCATTGATTCTGTATTAAATCCGTATTGATTCCATATTGATTACAGCCATCGGGGCAATGGTATTTCGGGCAGAGGTTATGTAGCTGAATAAAGAGAGAGAGAGAGAGAGAGAGAGAGAGAGAGAGAGAGAGAGAGAGAGAGAGTATTATGGCCTTTGGCAAAGAGTTACTTTGCTACGTGCATATTATGACTGTAATATCTGTTATTAACCTAAATAGTTATGAAGTATGTTTTACTCACTGAGCTAGTGGTTTGCTCACCCCTTATTTATCCCATTTCAGGTTGAACGAGTTGGCATTGGTGCGCAGTTGCAGCCCAAGTTTGAGGCTCAAAAACCATCCTGAAAATTTTATAGAACTTTTCAATGGAATAGGCACAAAAGGCTTTCAAAATTTCACAAAAAATTCTCAATAATTCCAAACTCAATCAAGGCAACAATCTCAGAATAAGGGCACAGAAGAGTTCTAAAAGTTCCACAAATTCCACAAGAACATTACAAAACTTGAGATTAACAATTCTCCAACAAAAATCAATAAATTGTGATTTTTGACTTTAGATCCAAATCCAAGAATGATAGATCTACACAAACCAAGGGAGATCTAAAGGTTTTACCTTGCTTCTAGAATTGACAAGCAAGATGAGTGATAGGATCAGATTATTGGGCAACAACACGACCTCGGACGGCGTGGACGCACGGACTCAGCTACGGACATGCGAGGGCGGATGCGTGGCTCGCATGGACTAAGGCGATCAAAAGTGGTTAGGTCTCCTTGGCGATGGAAGGATGTTGTTGTTCTTGAGGGAGGGGTGTCGCTGCTGGGCTCATCGTGCGTGGTGGCAGGTGCTCGCGAGGGCGTGCCGACAGCTTCTCGAGCGTGGCTGGGGGTGCAGTGGTGCAGTGGTTGTGTAATGCTCCGCTATTGATTTTAGACTTTCAGAAAAATCAAGATAACATTTTCTGTAACGCCCCGTTTATTTTAAAGAATTTATCGAATTTATTTGATAAAAATCAGAGTTTTTTTTTTTAATTTTAAAATAATCCAAGTTAAAACCTTTATCGAGAAACGGGCGCTACTTACTAACAACAACAAACAACACACATCCAACAATTCAAGGAAACTACACATGCTCGAGCTAACGATAAAACAAATCCCAAAAACATAAGTCTCAAACCATTTCAAAAGGTCTAGCATTATTCAAGGTTCATCCAACTTAAACATAGTTCAAAAGGTGAAAGCAATAAATAATCCAAGACATAATGACAAATAAATAAATATGAAGTTTATACGGAAGCATAGGTTTTCAACACATATGACCACCATCTCGCTCGTCCTACGCCACCGCCTCCAGCTCGTCTCAACCTAGAACAAAGGAAGAGAGAAGGCAACAAGAAAACAATGGGGTGAGCATAACCAACATGCTCACCATTATCGCACAGTATATCTCGCATAACATTTAAAACATTATAACCATAGCATTCAGTATACATAGAATCCAACAGTCTAACTCCCTACTTGGCCCTATCGCAAACCTCCTATGTACATACAACAACCTTCCGGATACGACGACATGGCTGTAACTGGAAACCTTCCCACCCCCGGATACGACGGTACATGGGATCCTTTCCAGGAGACAGTGAAGTTGAATTACCCCTCCGCTCTACACGGATTCGAGTAAATCAGACAATCCCCTCCGCTCTACACGGATTCGGGCGTCCACCTCCCGGATACGACGAGCAGGCGACTTCCACTGCTTTTGCATTCATAAAAGGCACTATCGTTCGGGACACTTTGACTAGAGTTCAAGCATACAATAATTTTCAAAAGAAACATTACACGAAATAAGGAGTGCGATAAATATGGAATACATCATAAATGTACCCACCTGATAGCAGCAATAGTTCACAGAATCACAAATCCAGAAACGAGGCGAGGTCAACACCTCTTAAACACCTACATTATGACAAGATCCTACAATCAGAATCTATCTCGACTTAAATCGGAAATCACAAGACAGACCTAGTCGAACTCGTTTCGACTAAGTAGTTCGTGAAGTCCTCTGGATGTTGGAACACTAAGACTCGGTACCAAACTCGACCAAACCACGTACGGGAGTTCACATAAATCCATCCAAGGATTGACCAAGTCAAATTCACATCAAAAATAAAAGCATGTCGATTCCCAAATTTTCATATAAAAATCATGCTTCGAAAATAGAAATCATTTAATCGCATAAAAAATAGATGGTCAAGCTACCCTACGACTTAGGCTCTAAAAATTTACACAAAATTTCATCTTCCAGAAACATGTAAAACCACAAAGTTTCAGCTTTAAACTCGAAATATTATAATTTATAAAATTCGAACAAGATATCAGCAAAATGGGCACATTTAATTTATACTCGAACTTAATGTACGAATCTCAACTTGAAAATTTAACCCAACCACATACAGCATGCTAAAGTCCATGTATAAAAATCTCAGCCTTAAATGTTAACTGCTGCTATTTTTAAAAATTCATACGAGCAACAGCAGTTTATCGAATTTAAATCCAAACTGAATCAAAACGGACTCCAAAAACTCCCATCTTTTACAAAAATGATTAAACACATAAAATAGGCCTCTCAGTAAAATTTCAGAATTTTTCATGAAGTAACTAATTTATAAAAATTCAAACAACGTTTCTGCAGATTCCATAAATAAAATATTAACCACATCAAATCAACTCCAAAAATTCTAAAACTTTAACACAACATATATAAGTCACAAAGGCACGACATATTTGAATTTCAGCTCATTTCATTCAGGCATGAATTTTTTTATGCATTTAACATTATCCTGGACAGATTACAATTTAATTATTTAAAAATAGCTACAGGCCTCTAAAAATTACGAATATTTTACACAAGGCAGGCAATGAATGGGTACCGTTCTCGGGAATCGAGCAAGAATGGGTTCGAACGGGCTCGACGGTAAACTCGTCTCGCGAAAGAGAAGGGCTCGATGTGCACGGGGAAGAGTTCGCTGCTGGTTCACGAGCTCGTCGGGAAGGTCACCGGAGTTTCTGCTCGAAGGGTAATCGAGCTCGCCGGCAAAAATTCACGAACAACACTTGAGGGAGGAAGCTTCACGGCGTGGCAGTGTTTCCGGTCGCGGCGTGGCGGAGCTTCAGTCGCGGCGTGGCGAGGGACTGGTCGCGGTGTGAAGGTTCAGCGAGTCGGGATTTCTGCAACTCGCCGGAAAAATCCAACTGGGCGACGATGATGATGACGGAGAGATGATGAACGATGAAAACGAAGGTGATGAGATGACGAGCGTGAGGATGATGATGGAGATGATGATGATGAAGGAAGATCGTGAGGATGAGTGTGTGGGTGAATGATGAAGACGAAAGAAAATTCACAGTGAGAACAAGAAAAATTTGCGATCGATCAAAAGAAAAATATGCTGCGGCGTTTTCATCTTTAAGGGAGACAATAATATATATATATATATATATATATATACATGATATTAGGTTATAAAGTCTTGTTGTCCAAGACAAACACAAACTCACGCCCAAAAGGAAAAGAGGAGAAAATCTGTCGGGCCGGGCCCGAGAAGTTGGGCCAAAAGGGTTTTGGGCCGGTTAGGACATTAAATCGGCTCACGGGCTCGATTAAAATTTAAACGGACATTCTCGGGCCAATTTCGGTTCCAATGAAAATCCTCGGGCTCGATTTCGAATGCAAACGCGCGATAAAGATAAACCGAACAATATATATATATATATATAGGGAAAATTACACTTTTCCTACCGAACTATCCGCGTTTTTACACTTTGCCCACTCAACTTTTTCCGGTGACATTTTACCCCTTGAACTTCACATTTTCTTGCACTTAACGACTTCCGGCCACCGGAGATGCAAAATCAAGGGCAAAGTGTAAAAACGCGAATACTGGATTCGTCAATCCAGTAGGTCACCGGTACCTCATCAAAGGTAAGGTTCTGCCCACATGCAGCTCGTCAAAGATCGCCTCGTGCCTAGAGTCGCGCACCTGTCCCCTCTCCACGAGGCACTGAACAGGTCGTGCACTCTTGCAAGCTCCGGTGATGGGGTCAACCGTCAGGCTAAGACGCCGACTCGGTCGAGAATCACTAAAGGACCAACAAATGTGGCTGATACTTCCTCTCTTCCCAGAACTCAAGGCGTACAACGCCCCTTTTCGTACTTAGAATCTTATACGGTACCATCAAGATCGTCACTCATAGCCATTGCTATAACCGCACTTTCTTATGGTAAGAAATTCCACACGACACACCCATCGAGTACACCAGACTCAAAACCAGTCTCTCAGGGTCTCGACAGCATGTCCTAAACAAATAACTATCTAGATTTCTACGCGGTACCAAGTTCAGTCTCGTGCTCGGGTCACGTTGACAACTTGCCCATGATCCCAACGTGATCCGTGCGTCCGTATCAAACGGGCCGCCACGGGATCTCATAAAAAAGGCTAACAAGCAACAATAACACCACAACTCAACACTGATACCTACAGAAGCCACGGTTCTACTCGATATCAGTGACAAAGCCTCATTCCTTGCCCACACGAGTAACAGCTCGTATGCGGTTTAGGAAGTATCGACTAGACATTCGAAAACAACCACTATCGCAGAAACTGGCTCTCAAATAGGGATGCTCGACGATCCCATTATAACGATCTAAAAGACAAGGCCAGTCCAGGGTTAAATGCACTGTCACCCGGGAGATGTCATACACACTGGCGCTGCATAAGCGGGGCGCTGGGACGTGTGCCTACATCTGTTCGGAGAACAGCTGCAAGGTCAAGGTTTCGGCCACACACTGGCTTGGGGAGCTCCTGCGTTCGGTGATGGTGGCTACAGCTTGCGTGCGAGTCAACGATCGGCCCTGCAGTGCCTCACGTCTCTCAGCACGGGCTTGCGTGCTCGACCACCACTTCGCGTGACTACACCCAGTCAGCGTCGGCGTTCGGTTCGAGGTGCAATAAGGATTACTCTAATTCAAGGCTCGCACTATTAGAGGTAACCCGAAAGGAAAAAGGGTTTTTACAAAACCAAGAAACAATAGGGTTCAACAAGGACATTATCCCCCAGCATTTAGGTATTAACAATCTCGAAAGGTTCAGGGTTTCAAAACATCACATCTAAAGAAAAGGAATATCGGCATCCTCAGCTAGAAATCATCCCCAACTCAGTGGTCATTGTCGAACAAGGAAAAAGATCAGTTCGCATGCCTAATCGTGCCGGAAGTCTTAAACGAGCTCAAACTCTACGCCGCTAAGCTTTCCACGTTTTCGGATCTCATCACGAAGCCTCCTTGGTTGATTCGTCACGATCACGCCTCGAACATATGACATCAACGATACGATAGACCGATCCGGTATGAATGAAGTACCCAGACTGAAATGGCATCGCCAAAATCGAAAGAAACGATATAAGACAAGCGGTAAAACGAAAATACTTGTCTTATTAATATATAAGGTTGTAATTTCTGAAAATGAAGACTCCAAACAAATCAAATACTAGAATTTTCAGAGGGTTGCCAAAAATCAAAGAATTACAAGAGTCACTCTTGAATTTCAGAAGGGAGAAGAACGGGAGCTTCGAAGAATTCACGATGGACACAACACAAAAACGAAAATGGCTCTGCATCAGGCTCGACTACCCTCCTTAAAAGATTTCATGCACACCACTGCGGTTCAAAGCTAAAACAAAGCACGAAAGAAATTGATCGCCGTCTATGTCGAAGCTAAGGTATTCTCAAGTTAACCTATGCCTCGACTTGGCAAACATTATGACAGGTAGGGCCTCAAAACATCGGGGAATGAAAATTTGAAAGAATTACTCGAGACACAAATAAGCAAA